TGTGTGTGTGTGTGTGTGTGTGTGTGTGTGTGTGCAAAGAAAGAACAGTGAGAAATGAACAGACTGTGTTTCTGCTCTGTGATTGGCTGCAGGGAACTTCAGGACCGGACCCAACCACCGTGTACGTGGACATGAGAGCGTTACGCCACGACAGGTATGACGACCCGTCAGTCAGTTCTTTCCTCTTTATTTTTCCAAGTAGGGGCCTCCGCAGTACACGGGGGGGGTGGGTTCTTGTCTGTGTGCTTGTAGTTTGTCTTGACCGTGATTGGCAGTTTGGAATATAGTCAGAGTATTTTGGGTGGGCGGGGTTTGGCAGAACTGTGATTGGTTGGGTTGGCTTGTCTTGTGGGGCAAGGTTAGGGCTGTTTTAGCCAAGCCAAATTGTTACACATCCATCCACATGGACTACGTTCAAATTTCGTGCTGCTAGCATCTTGTCCCGACTTATGACTAATATTAATTTTTTAAAATATGACACTTCCTGGCCGACTGAGCTGCACTTCCTCCCAGTTAGTTAATTCAACCTGTCACTTCTTGAACAAACTACACCCAAAATGGTCAAACAGACCAATCATGCTTTGGACAAACTCCTCCCACAAAACAAGAACCTCCCACTTAGAGACTGTAGAGACCCTCTTCTTCTTCTTCTTCTTCTTCTTCTTTTTACTTTAAACTGTTTGTCTCTGTCAGGGTTCGATTAGTGGAGAGAGGTTCTCCTCACAGTCTGCCTCTGATGGAGTCTGGAAAGGTGAGTGAGTTATGTGACTCGTTTGRGACTTTACTTTTGAACCAAACTAGATTTACCAAAAAAAAAAACCTCCATGTTGCTGTGATCTTAAATATCAGCCACATGTCAGAATGAGTTGGAAACATGAATGACAGCACATTCTGGGAGCATTTCTGCTGCTTTTGGCTGCACGTCCTCCCACGTTCAGTGAGTCAGAACAGACAACAGGTTTGAGTCGATGACGAGCACTCAGAGAGTCATCCTTCATCTCTGTCCAATTTTATGTGGGAGAAAAGAATCGGGTCCAGGAGATGGTTGTCAAGAATGTTCTGTGGCTGATTATAGACTGAGACTGATTGTGTTTMTCTTCTCTATATGCTGTCCATACATAAAAAATATTCTAATTCATCCAAAGAAATGTTCTGACGCCACATGATGTGGTATGAAGTTTGATGTGTTTGAGTTTTGTCTCACTKAAAGTAGATTATAAATGTGGAGGTTTCAGGGTTTGTTTTGAATAAGTAAAACAAAAAGGGGAAAAAGTCTGAATGTTTATTTCCTGCRTTGAAAGCTCAGGTGGGTTAGCTGTGTGTTCACAGTGAACACTTGTTTGATGTGTTTCTGTTGGACTCTGACTGAAGCAGAAACTGTTTGTTGGTTTCCAGATTCTGCCAGGAGTTCGCATCATCATCGCCAACCCAGAGACCAAAGGACCGCTGGGAGACTCGCATCTCGGAGAGGTCCACAGACAGAAACTGCCCCTCCTCTTTCACCTCCATCCATCCATCCATCCATTTTCTGTACACGCTTCTTCCTTTTCAGGATCGCGTGGGTCACTGGTGCCCATATCCAGCAGTCACAGTGCGAGGGGCGGGGTACACCCTTGACAGGTCGCAAGTCCATCACAGGGCCACACATAGAGACAAACGAGACAAACAACCATTCACTCTCTCACTCACACCTACAATATGCAACAATACATGTACCTGTGTCAAAGCGTATCTAACAGTGCTTTAGGTTCAATACACACTTGTAT